CGTCGCCCGCCGCCGCCGCCGCCGCCGCCGCGTAGCCTGCGCGCCGCGCCGCGCCGCCCGCGGCCACCCCGAGCGACTCTGGCGTTGTGCAGGTGGGCGGCGCCCCCGCGTTGGCCCACTCACTCGCGAATCTCTACGCCAGCGACTGAGCTTCCGCGTCGCCTGCTGCTCCTGGTCCCTCCGCTCCATCTGCTGCAGTCGCTACTCATCGCCCCCGCTCTATTTCTTCTTCCTGGGTTTCGTTCTCTTTTCCTCTCCTCTTTCTTCCTCCTTACATTCCTCCTGTCATCAAACGTATCTCTTCTTTCCTCCTCTCTTCTTCCACTTCACCCACCTCTCACCCTTTCTCCTCTCCTCTTTCCTCCTCTCTACCTTTGTCCTAACCTCCTTTCTTCTTTCCTCCTTCCTCCTCCCCTTCCTCCTTTCTTCACTGCTCTTTCTTCCCTTCCTCCTCTCCACTTTCCTGTTCTTTATTTTTTCTCTTTCTTATTATTCCTTTTCTTTTTTCTTCTTCCATTCTTTTTCTTCTGCCATTCTTTCGTTTGGCTTTCATTTTATTCCGATCTGATTTTTTAAATTGTTCGTTTTAGTCCTTTTTATCTTTTTTCTACTTAGTCTGCTCTTTGCTATTTGGGTTTTTCGATTTCTCCTGCTACTATTGTTCTTATTGCTGCTGCTGCTGCTCTCATACAATTTCTGCTATTTTTTTTCCAAATTTCTTTAATTTATTTTCTGATTGTGTGAAATTACTTTTATGAAACTACTCTTCCCGATTGTTCTTATGTTTCTCATGTTTCACCTTCACTGTATTTTTTTTGTTGCTTTGTGTTTTTCATACTTCTTTCTTTTTAAATACAAGTTTTTTAGTCTGAAACTATAGGTCTTACAACAGCACATATTTCCTCGCATTATTCGCAATTTTCTACAATTAAGGGAATGCCTCCAAAATGACATCAGTGTATTTTTAAGGATATTTGCTCTTCATGAGGAAAAAAGTTGAAAACAAATTATATAACCTAATTTAAAGAAATCTTCAAAGAACAGATTTAATTACGCAAAAAGGCTCTTATATTCAATCATGTATTTGGAGGAAGAAATAAAAAAAATACTGAACTTTTGAAATTTTCTAAAATTTAGAACTGCGCATATTTTTAAGCGTCATTTGTTCTTACTGGAAAAAAATAATCCAAAAATTTGGAACCATTTTTGAGAAAAATTTGAAAACGTTAATGCTTCATGTAAAATCCTCCCTCCAAAAAAATCGTTTCGAAAACGCATAGTCTCGAATTCGGCCAAGTCGTTTAGGGAATATCAATTTTGGAGAAATCGTCTGGACGGGTTAAGTGCTAACGTTAACCACAGACAGACGTTTTGCCAACAACCAATTTTCGGTACGAAAGTCCCACAAAACGTAAATTTTGACTACACAACGTGTTAGAGTAATGTACTATATACAGGAACAAGATTTATCCACTTTTCGATATCTCCCTTAATACGAACTTTCAGTCGAAAATGTTATGTTTTTGCAGCAGTATCACAATTCTTTCTGTATACCGTAATAATGTGCGAGAAAGTGAAATGAGCAACGTTACAATATCCTTCAGAATAGATTGTTCATTTTTCTTTACCTGTAAGTTCAGAGAGGTTTCGATTGAAATTGTCTTGTATCTAAATCCTAGAACAGCGAGAGATCACCAGTAATGTCATTTTTG